TACATATATGTACCTCGGGTACATATCTGTAGTACCTGATACGACAACGACCCCTTGAGCCATAGTTACATCAGCTATTTACCACAACACACGTATAATACAGTTTACTAGCTACACAGTCTTACACACTCTCTATACTACTATAGCTATAAAACACATATAGTTACACTATCTAAATACTGCAACAATAACATACAATACAGTCTGTAGCTACACAACGCGTAACGCATTTTACAACTCATAACGCAGAACCATCTGTTACTACAACACGTACATATATTCTTTAGCTATACATCCCGTGATGAAACTATCTGCCTACTACACTGCATATATGTATCATTTAGTTTTTCAAAACATAGCAAATCACTAAAGCTACCACGTCAACTTATGGCAGTTACACTTGCCTACTACTGCAGCGCCTAGCTATACACCACCGACGTCCACTGGCAGCAAGATCAAGCCCGCACGTACAGCACACACGCGCGCCATTGACTATATATATACAACTATATATATTGTTGTATATATATAGTCAATGGCGCGCGTGTGTGCTGTACGTGCGGGCTTGATCTTGCTGCCAGTGCCGACGTCCTATCGTAATCAGCAGACGATATTTGAACTTTTTTTTGTCTAACGGATGCTCATTCCGTACGGTTGATATTTTGACAGACGAGAACGAGTGCGTGACGGGCAACAACGACTGCCACGCAAACGCCGTCTGTCACAACCGGCCGGGAGGTTTCGACTGCGTGTGTAGCAAGGGTTACGAGGGCGACGGAAAACAATGCAAAGGTAAGGCCCGCCACACGGTCGCCTAGCGACCACATGCGCGCCATCTATCGTTCAAATATAATACGAACAGATGCGTACGTAGCACGCAGCGCGCGATGCATTCTACATCAAGAGTTCGTGAATATATCGGCGTTTGTTATGTGGTATTTATTGATGCATTTAAATAAGTAATCGATCATTCTACGGTAACGCCAACGACAGCTCGTTGATCAAGAAGCTTTGCTAGGCGAGGCCCGTTACTGAGACCAAAGTAACAGATTCTGTCGCTCCATGGGACACAATTTAGGAGCTAGATTGATGAAAATATATTGCAATATACATTATTTATTTAACGATGTTTGTTTGTTTGTATGTTTGTTTTAACGGTCTACATTGCGTTTCTTTGCAGATTTGGATGAATGCACGACAGGTGTCGCTGTATGCGACATCAACGCTGTCTGCTTGAACACAGACGGTAGCTACAACTGTCAATGCGTCACCGGTTACGATGGCAACGGAGTCACCTGCAACGGTACGTACGCGTCGACCCTACTCCCCGGTAGATGGCGCACCACTCACCTAATTTCTAATTTTCGCAACTTTGCGGATTTCGCTGACCGACGGCGTGGCGCACTTGTTCGATCGTGTGTCTCGTACGTCATCGGTTTGCGCGCGCGTTATTGTCGTACGTCATCGGCGTATGTGCGCGCATTATTGTCGTACGTCATCGGCGTATGTGCGCGCATTATTGTCGTACGTCATCGGCGTATGTGCGCGCATTATTGTCGTACGTCATCGGCGTATGTG